TCCCTACTACTTTTATAAATATTTATTTTCATCTATATTTGTTATGTGTTTGATAACTAATTTGGTTTAAATATTGTCAAATGACCCCCTTGTCTCAAGTTCAAATTTTTTCATATGACCCTTTTGTACCATTTGTTTTATATATGACCCTCGTGCAAAATAATTCTAGCTCCGCCCCTGCACCTGAGTGTTGCTTTTTGATACGTTAAAGTTTGGAGGAAAACAAAAAAACGTTAAAGTTTGATTGGTAATGGTTGTGAATGCTTTCAATTCATTTTTGCAGCAAATAATTCGGGATGAAAATTTTCAGAATCTACTGAACGATTGAATTAGTTCGTTGAGGAATAATGTCAATAATGTTGGATTGATGGTTTGACACAGGCGAGCGAATAAAGTTAATTAGGCTATTCGCTTGGCATAGTGATGGACTTCATCCTTCCATTGTAGTCTTAGTATTGCCTTTTTTAGATGAAAGTACAGTTAGGATAGCTTTTAAAAAGACAAAAATGAGTTTGTTTTGTAAACGATTTTCTGATAAAAACCCTTAATTCCGGGACCCAAAGTATCAACATTTGTAATACTTTTGTAGACGTTAATATTAAGATTTGATTATGATCTTCTGGTAAAAACTTTTGTAGACGTTGATATTAACATATTTACAAAAGTTTACCAACCACTCGACCAATTGAATTTGTGATATTCATCAAAATGCTATAAACTATAAAGAAACTTTTTTGACACATTGTGATTTCATTTGAAAGAAAAAATCAGCAATTATTGTTTCTGGAGAGGACTTAATGGCTTATCCTCACCGGACCGCGATAGTGACACACTGACCCCATGACACTGAGATTTATTAGGTATGGTCATTCTTCACAGTCCACGTGTTGCATGTTTTCATGCGTGCATGCATTTAATTAGACCCAACTAACTTTGAAGTCTAAACTGTTTTTTCTTTTCTTTTGGGTGAAAACCAAGTTGGTTCATTTTTTTTGTAAATGTAAATAGATTCGGATTCATATTTAAGAACTAATATGATACGTATTCATATTTATAAACTAATAGAGTGGATTCGGATTCGAATTACTATTAGTTTAGAGTAGTAAAAATTGTTTAGTTTTTTCAAATGATGTATTTATTATTTTTATTTTTTTTGTAATGTGTAAAAATCCTTAATTTTTATCAATTGAAAACAGATGGAATAATTAATATGCTTTTAATACTTGCATATTCCCAATACTAGCAAAAACAAATTCTCAATTTATAATTTTATCCACTCTACAAAGATCCACTATAGACGGAATTTATCTATCATAAGTATTTATGATGGATGATTTTATCTTTACCATTATACTACAACGAACAAATTTTCTTACATTACACTAGAGATTTTCTATAAACTTTTTTCTGTTAATCTGCCAAAATCATATAATCTGGGAATCGACTATAAAGCTCTTGGCGCCTTTTCTTATATGAAATATAGTTTTAGGTTTTCATTTTTGGAGAAAATTGTAAACTAATAAAGTTATAGATTTTTTTTGGCTAATAGAACTGATCTTTCATATAATTAGATGTCACGAGAGGCCAATTATTCTGAGTCCCTAGATGATGATGAGAATTTATTCTGATCTAGACCCACATTGACAATCATTACCATTCGGTTAGTAGATCATCATTTACAAACATCTGTTGCCAGTTAGTCACATAGTATTTTCTTTTAACAATGTGTCATTTTCAAAAGAGACCCTTTTCATTGCCAATCATTTTTTGGTTATTACATACTACATTTTTTGTGAACTAAAACTTAGATACCAACTACAAGTCTACAAATTTTGAAAGATGATCAGGGGTACGTATTTGTCCAGATCTTTTAGTCATTAGAAAAAAAATCTATGAAGATCTTATCTTTCAAGCTGTATCTTCTTTTGACATTGTCGATCGAATTTATTTAGGCACACAAACCCAGTCGAATTTAGTGCTTAGAAAAACAAACAAAGTGCATTATTTTAATAACTCCACTGTTCAATACAACTGTTTGGATAGATCCTTCATTCAAATTTGTGTGGTATCTACGGCTGCACAAAATATTTTAAATCTAACTCTGATTTAAACATTCAAAGTTTTTGGATCCGAATCTTGATTTTTTTTTTCAGTTAGGAATTCTAATCTGAAATCTTTTTAGTATGTAAAATATTTTCTTAACGCTGAACATAAATTTATTAAAAGATTAACAACACATCAAAAATCTCAATAACAATGAGATAATTCAATCTTGCTAAAGGAAGAGTTTGCAAATATAATTTTTTTTCTTTTTTTAATTAAAATGGTTATATTTCCATTAAGAAAGTAAAAAATCAGTAATATTATATTTAAGTTTATCTTCGTCAGATTGTTTATGATCCAAACAACATGAACCCAATCTATAAAACTTGAAAAAACAAACTTGATCCAAATTTCATGTCGATCGAATTTGGTAAAATATTTTGTAATCTAAATAACTTAAATCCAAAACCCCATTTGGCCACCCCTAATCAAAATGATCGATCAAATAATCTTCCTCGCATAGAAATAATATTAAATTATCAGCGTTGGGCTCTCAGAAGCCTAGAGAAATTACATGTGACAAGCTGTCAATAGCATAAGGTCCAGGCCCACTATTATCATGTCACATATGCATGAATATGCATAATCTCGCACTAAGGTCGTTGGTACAATGGACTAAACGTTCGTGACTGGTCCATATTCGTAGAACCTGCCTTACAATACCAGATCAAATACTGATCCACATTTCAATTAACAAATCTAAACCTCAAAAAAGCCAGTATCAGTTTGAAATCGGACTAATTATATAGAACAGTCACATTAAAATGGTTCAAATAAAGAGATCAAGAAGCAGATTTTAAGTCTCAACAACTGTGGAAAGAAAAACAACAAACAAACTTCTATTTTCTCTGCCTCAAAATTCAACGACTAGAAAGAAACAAAACCAGACGGAAGACAAAGAAGACAAGTGTTTCTACATGTTTCTGTTTGTTTCTTTTTTTTTTTTTACCTTTTCTCTTCAAGCATCTGTAGCTGCTGGAGAATTCTCAGGTGTCTTCAGAGGAAGAGCTGCTGCTTCTGCTTCTTCTTCTACCGGTTTACTGCCTTTATGTTTCTCGATGGCTACACGAAACTCTTCCACGATCGTCGGGTCTTTGAACTTGAGCGCAAATGTAGAGAGACCTTCTTTGCCTTCGCTTACACTATTCACACAAGCGAACGTGATTCCTTTCTTGTCCATGGCTGCAAGTTTCATCTCCGGGTACACACTCGCGTTCAAGATCAGCCTGTAGTTTCCTTTAGCTCTCATAACCAACCTTGCCTTGCCACCACTGCTCGACACATTGACCTTGACTTCTCCTTTCCCACGCTCTTTCCATCCTCCATCAAGATACTCAAACACTATCGAGTCAGCCGAGAAAGCGACTCTCTCGTTCTCTTCTCCTGTCTCTGTGGAGACCTCTTGCTTTGGTGGAAACCCACTACCTTCACTCTTCTTGATAATGGAAGATCCAGACGCACCGAAAAGGGAAGAGCTGTTGCCGAAGAGAGAACCAGAACCAGTCGAACCACCATCCTGAGAGACCAAACCGAATGAGAACGAAGAAGAACCAGAACCCTCTGTACTCGCAAGTCCAGTGAATGCGTTTTTGCTACTCGAATGCTGTTGGAACGAACTCAAAGCGCCATTCTTATCTGCTTCTTCGCTTTCTTCTCCTTCTTTCTCTTTTCTCTCAGCTTGATCACCTCCTGATTCCTTCTCAAGAGGATCCTCAGTTTGGTCTGTTCCTTCAACAACGTTGCTAGTGATTGTAACACCTGAGACCGTCTGGTCTACATTATCCTCATCTTTAGCCTTTTCAGTCTCTTCTCCAGCAGCGTCTTTGACATCAACCTTCTTACTGTCAACTTCATCTTCCTCGCCGCTATCAACTGCCTTTTCAACTACTGCTTCGGCTGGAGCCACGTCAGTCTCAGCCAGAGGTGCATTTGTTCCAAAAGTGGCTAAAGCAGGTGCAGGTGCAATAGGAGGGACCAATTGAATTCCAGCAAATGGATTGGGTGCTGAGGCTGGTGCAGCTGAGGGCTCTTTGCGTTTGATTCTGACGATTCTTCTGCTTGCCAATACCTCATCACTGGCCTTCTTGAAAGTTCCAGTCTCGAGATCAGTTGTCTCGTCATCATCATCAGCACCTAGAGTCTCACGAGTCAGCTGCTTCAAGGCGCCTCTCTTTTTGGAAGGTTGCTGTGCGTTTTCCGAGTCCCCCATTGTAAATGTTTGAGAGAATATGAACACGCTTGTATGAATACCTACACAAAAAGTGCAAGAGAATGTCCATGAATATTGAATTATTCCTCAGAGATACTATAAGACAGATAACCCAATCCAATCTTTTGATATAGTGGTCAAATGTTACAAATCCAAAAGATCATTTCGAAGATATTAACACATAACACATGAATTCGTTACAGAGAAGAATCAGAACAACAAAAAAGACCAGTGATAAAAAAAAAACCCTAAATGAAAAGGGAATTGAAATCGGAGGAAATACAAACAACTTTAAACCCAATTTCGATTTGAGAAACATCAAATTTTAGGGGTTACATTCAATTTCTTGCTGGCTTCCACAATCTCATGATATAAGAACAACCGCGTATTCCCAACGCAACCACGAACGATTTTATAGTGAAGAATATTTTTTTTCAAAATTGTATCCCAAGACGAAGCACAAAGAACGAAAATTGGTTGAACACGAGTTAAATCCTAAAACCCCAAATCAATCAAAACAAACTCTTCAGAAAAAACCGGAAATTATGCCCACAGCGAAGTGAACAAATAACAGGATGACAAAACCCTAGAATCAAAGCAGCTAGACCTGAGAAAGTTAACATTTCCGAGAAACCGGGAATGAAGAAAACCGCAGATTCACGAAAGTGACCGGCGAGCAGAGAAAGTGGGAAGAACTTACCGAGAAGAGCAGCACCAGAAGAGGGAATAGAATAACCTAACGCCGGAGCGAAGTGGTATGAGACGAAGAGGGAGCTCAAAGAGGGGTTAATAGAAGAAGAACATCGAACATGTATCTAAATTTTTAATTTTATCGACATTTGTGTCACTTTACTATTAATTTTTTGTCCCTCAAGGTACATATTTGATATTTTTCCCTTCTAACATTTATTTATTTTCAATCCATTTTAATCTTCGATTAGTGTTGATTATCTTTGCAAGATTATAGTCTTTATCTTTATTGGAACACCATATCCTTGAGCAAATTCAACGCAATCTTACTCCAATCTTTGAAAAAGTATAAAATAAAACGGCAAGAAAACTCCGAGAGAATTATGTTCGCAACGGTTGAAAATAAAGACAAAATCATTTTACAGGCCGGAGGAAGAAAAAAAACCCAATCAGATGTAAACTATTGAAGTAGATATTTTGGCAAACAAAAAAATGAAAACCATATAATAAGAATAAAATCTCCCAATAAGACTACTACCACTTCCTTTAAAACTCACCAGCCTCTCTCTTTTCATCTAAATCCTTCAGACTCTCGGAATTTCAATTTCTTACCAAAAAATTTCAAACTTTTATTACAAATGGACTCGAAGTACTTCAATGAGTGTAGTGTTCCAAGCTGCGAATCCTCAGAAAGAAAGTTATTTCACCTCCATTGTTGCTGGAACTTTGGCCATTCTCCATAAACTGTAAACTCTACTGACGCGGTGTAAGCACTGCAAACACACAAAGTAATCGAAAGATCAATAAGTTAAACCAATACCAACAAGTGCTAAAACCTTAAAAGACACCGCAAGTTCTTAAAAGACGAAGCAAATACTCGGTTTTAAAACCTAAGCCATGTCACGAAACAACTTGGTATTATGTTTCCTAAGGTATAATGATTTCAAACAGAGGGGAAAAGATGTTAGAAGGCATGCACGCTATCTTTGGGAGATCAAATTAATCACCAGAGACAAAAATTTCAGACTTTTCAACATTGGCTTGACCGGACTGACTTGCTATTAGGCGGATGGGTTTCCTTCATTATTCGTACCCCACTCTTCGTCAGCCTCACTTTCGTTCACAAGTACAGCTCCATCCGTTGAGTCACCATCAACGACTCCTTCTTCTTCTTCCTTTTCTTCATGATGCTCCTCTACAACATCCTCATCCTTCTTCTGTTCATCTCCTCCATTTTCTTCTGCTACTACCTCCTGAGATGAAAAAAAATAAAGCATTTGTTGCTGCTTAACAAATTCCACATGTTATAAATGAGCAAGTTAATTGGAAAGAGAAAAAGGCACCTCGTGATCGATATCTCCATTTTCGAGTGATTCCTCTTCCTCAACTTGCAAGTTTCTAAAGGCTTCCACGAGGGTCATCGAAGATCTATCAGCATGGCTAGGATAGTTTTCTGCAGATGTATAAACTCCCCTGTAATTGAATAATAGTCAGATTTCTGAGAGGCCCAAGTGTAATTATGCGGAAATATCAGTGCAAGGATGTACTAGGTATTAATGGTATCTCTGCTTAATTACCTTGTCTCTGCAGCTTTTTCTTCGACGGAAAGAGCAACTTGCCAATCTTCAAAAAGATTTGAGTACTCCTCAGGATCAGCCAAAGATTCTGCTGCTTTCGGGTTAATCTGTAGACAAGTGAAACGCAACTTTATAACCATAACTCTTTTTTCTCCTTGACCACAATTCACTGAAAAATAAAGATAAAAAAGTTACCTTGCTGAGATCTTTCCTCCATAGAGCTACTATCTCAGATACTTTGCTTGGAAGATATGATCTTGCGAACAGAGCAGCTTCTGGTATCCGGTTGCTGGAGAAAGAACGAAATCGTCACACAGATAACCAAAGGTGCATGAATTTGATTTTTCCAAACTCCTAATGAATTACCTCTCCACCAATAAGTCCAAACAATCTTCCAATTTACCCAGCATGAATAGGCAAAGATAGGCAACATTGTTCTTCCCTTGGTCTTTAGCAAGTGTTGCAAGTTTTGTCAAACCTTCTGCATCTCCCAGAGAAGAATATAGCAGTAACAAACCACTCAAATCCATCGCATACTTCATGCATTCCTCTGCCATTTGCAGCTGTCATTATGACATACAAATGGAACGAGTTAGTTGGAGATCCGCACATCAGACACGTAACCAGGAGACAAAAAAACATAGATTTTTGCTGTTTCAAAGATCATATTGCTCACTGCTCCAACATTTCTGGATAAAACTTCGGAATCACACGTAAATCAACTGATATATCGTTTACTGAAAAGGTTTTTTTTTGTCTTTGTAGTGTCATTACTTAACATTAGGAAGAAATAATACCTTTCCAGAGGACATGGCTAACTCTCCTAATTGCTTCCACTTAGACTCGCTCTGTACTTCTACAGCGATTTCCTACAAGCATATAATCAAAAACACGTTTGGTTACATATGCCACTAAATAAAGAAGGAAAAAAGCATCTTAATCATCACATATTATATCACCTGCGCAATTTCAAGTCTACCCAGTTGTATGGCCAACTCAAATTTGTAGTCAGGATCTGTCGCAATTTCCAGAGCCTCTTCAATCATTCCTCGTGACTCCAAGAAATGAGCAACACTAACAAAGTGGAAAATTTGCGACATAAATATATAGAAAAATCCACGAAATACCCATTGATAGATATTAATCGATAACAATTACCTGTTATGCTGTTCTTTAGGAATTGTAGGCAAGATTTCACTGGCTCTGTCTAGATCACCTCGCATCACAAGAGTCTTGTACTCAATCAGGCTTAGTAGCAAAGTGTATCCTATAACACTGCATCCCAAATAACAGAAAACAGGAGAACAGAAATCAGAAACTTCTAAACCAGGCTGAAATAGACACACAAAATCTAGGCACTTACTTGAATTCTTTGTCTACCAAGAATACCCGACTTTGATTTGCAAGATAGCCCAACAGATACATTGGGCGGTCCAAATGATACATTGTGGTTACCTAGTATTAAGATGTTGGCAAATCTCATCAATATACTGTTCATAATAAAAGTCAAATTAGAGTAACCAAGAGATCTGCACAATACCTCGCCTCCAACACAGTAGTTAAGCTTCCAGGAAGAGTTGTTGTAAATGAAACAGTCACCAACCCATATACCTGTCCTAACTCGTTCATCATTCTCATGTAGAACCTCAAAAGCATCCTCAACACCTTCTTCCTCAGTAGATCTTCCGCTCTCAAAATGTGAGGAAACTAAATCCCGCTGTGAACGGGAACACCATAGTAAGCACTTGAACAATCCAAGAATTGTATATAGAAATTCACAGCTTAAAGTGTTCGTTGGACAGGATTCTTACGTTGTACTTCAAGATGTAGAAAGACGTATCACTAGCAATGGCTACTAAATCACCACTGTCAGCCCAATAAAGATTCTGCATACATTATAAGGCAAAATAAAGAATTAGAGAAGAAACAAACGAGGACAATCTCCAACTGAAGCTAACATTAGCTTTCACGATTCCAAATATGTCTCGAAGTAAACTTCTCAAAACAAACAGAGCCAAGTATACCTTTACAGTGACGTCAATACGTTGAATCAGCCTACATTCAGCCCAATCATAAAAGCAGATGAAATCATTTGAACACATAGCTAACAAGGTTCCTCCAAAGATCTTCTCAGCTGAGAAAGTAGGGCGGATGCTCTTTTTTTCCTGCAAACATCTTCTGTGTGTGAGCCAGATCCAGAAACAATTATCTCAATGACAGTATCAGTAATACTTCCAACAACGGTAGAAACATAACGTCTTAGAACAGGAGGAGAATAATGAACCTGGAAATTTTTGCTAAATGTCTTAATCTTTGATGAGCTTTCTCTAACGGCACACTCCCCGTCGGATGACCATACAAATTCCAGTCCAGAACCAAATGACCTATTTCTCCAAGCCAAAGCCGTGTAGATGATATACTCCCCGTCACCACAGACTACCACAAACCGCCCATTAGGATTGTGCTTCAAGCTCTGAGGGCAAGAGTACCAACATATGAGACACAGTTATATATTCAGAAGAAGAAAAGCGTAGCGAAACCAACAACTTTGGGCTAGTGTCAGTCATACCAGCTATGCAGAAAATGTTTTGCCCAAATAAACTATAAAACAAGCTAAAACATACAAAACCATTGGATCAAATGCTGTATAGTAACACTCACTTGTGGATAAAGATCACAGGTACCCAACTCTTTAACAGCCACAGGCAACCTTTCTCCATCGGTAACCTAAGGTCGAGAACAAAGGCTTAATACCATCAGGTAAACAAATAAAAACTAGGTCATCCGCTGCCACAGTATAAGAGTTAAGACCTATACCTCGTAATCTGCACCAATACTTTTGATGTTTGCAGTTTGAATTTCATTGTGCTTAGCCCAAATGATTTTTCCGGTGTTATCCATGCTAGCGACAGGAATTTCTCGTCCAAGTTTAACCATGATGGTTCCTTCATCATATCCAATCACAACCCTGTGAAGTGAAAACAAGAAAAAGGTTAACGGTCTCGCAGGATAACTCCATGGTGTAAAAACAAGTCGCTTCCAACAATAATAACCACAAGAGTGCCAAAAAGTTGAACGTCAGAAGCAAAGCTTCAATTAATGCTGTTTTGCCATCAACTGAGAGAGTAAATCTACTCCCGGATAACAGTTCTGAAAAGCATTGAGTTATTAATAAGAGAAGGAAGCAAAAATTTAAAACCTCACCGGCGTGAACTTTTAATGTAACCAATGGCCCAAACTCTCTCGAGACCATAATTTAAGGTGTTCTCTAGCCTGCAAGAATAATCAAACATTAAAAACTGGGATTACAAATGGAAGGACAATAGAAAAATTGGTACTGAGGAAAATATGCAAAAGAATGAAGCTCGAATGAAGATGACTAAGCTAGGCATAGAAGAAGCCTTGTATTATTCATATTCCAACAAAAACAACTGTTCATATTATAATACCTGTAAGTAGTTGAGTGCCAGATGCGAACTGTACCATCTTCAGAACCTGTGATTATAATTGGAAGCTCGGGATGGAAACATACTGCAGATACATTGTGTGTGTGCCCGTCCAGTGTCTGGACACAACTTTTTGTTTGATAGTCCCAAACCTGATTCCCGAAATTTAACTAGTAAATAAGCTGAAAGCACTTAATGTCAGTATAAATGTATCATTTAACATAGCACTGATGCAGACCTTAGCAGTGTGATCATCAGAGCCGGTAATTAGATAAGGCTTATCCCCACCGGTGAAATAATCTACACAATTCACTCCTTTCTGATGGGCATCTAATGTAAAATTTGGGTCTGGAGAACCAAGATTCCAAATCTGAAGATCAACAAGCATGTAATATAGAATCAGCTGACACTTTTCATAACCTTAAGCGGACTAATTCATAACCAAGCTACAAGCTTAGACAATTTCAGTACCTTAATGGTACGATCAAGTGATGCACTGGCAAAAGTATTGGTGTCTTTTGGATTGAATGTGACTTGCATCACATAGTGTGAGTGCCCCTCGAATATTTGAGTGCAAGCCCAACCCTTTTCCCAGTCCCAAAGCTTTATGAGCATATCATCGGAAGATGACAGCACATATGGAAGGGTTGGATGAACAGCCACACACCTAATGTAGTCTGAATGAGCCTCAAACACTTTGACCTTGTCCATGGTATTGTAATTGTATACACGGATGTACATATCATCAGCTCCTGCCACAACCCATTGCTTTCGTGCTATAAACTTGGCTGATCGAACTGCAAATTCATAATATAAGAAATCAGCATAAGTAATAAACTAAACATGAGTACATAGTCCATACAACAAGAAAGAATGAAAAAAAAAAAACATTATAACTTAATAGGCAAAAGAAAGAAATCTATATACCTGGTAATTCGGTCACCTCGAAGGATTTTGCCATCACCTGAGAATTATCAAGCAAGATTCAGGTTAAAAAATTTCCACGATTTCATATAAAAGCAACCTAACAGAATATCAAAACACTGCAAAACCTCATAGAATACAGAAAGAATCAAAATCTTTCAGTTGCACTTTTGGTCATTCCAATTCACAAAAAGTTCATTGTGAAATATGTGCACAAGAAAACAAATAAAGAAAATCAAATTATTTACCCACCTGTGTCTGGTAGTTCCAAATACACAAGGTTCCAGAGTACAAACTTGCTAGAATCCTGAAAAATTATGTCATTCACGTTCCAGTCATTAGTACAAAATGGTGAAAGAATCTTTCAGTCGCTAAAAAGAAAGTAAGCATGAAACTAAAATGCAGGGAGAACACAATCATATCTCGAAATTACCATGGTTCTGTAGGATGCAGATCCACAGATTTTACTCTCTCGGACCTTTGAGCAAATTTCTTCTGCTCCACAAACAACGCAAATCAAATCACCAACACAGCCTAAAACCAGAGTGAGTGATCTAAAATTACTACATGGAGATTAAAACAGTACCTTGATCTCGAGTCTGAGAGGCTGATTCAACAGAAAAGAAAGAAAGCAGTAGTCAGTACTAAGCTAAAGAAAGTAAGATCGTAAACTACAAATTTTACCAAAATTCCTCAACCAAAATCAACAAGGAACTTTTAGCCACACAAATATATAGAAAACAGCTAAAAGCTTAAAACCGAATACACAACGCAAACAACTTTCTGGACCACATATGCACCTAAACCGAAAGAATTCCAGATCTTATCAAAATGCAACGGCCATGAGACCAAATGTCAAGAGACTACACTCGATTTCATGCCATCGGCAGCAACACTAGACACAATTCGAATCAGATCAGAAAAGTCGAATACAAGGAAACATGCGATCTGAGATTCCACGATCTCACTCAAATTACGCTAAAATCACTATCAGAAATGCAGGAAATCGAGATCGAATCGTAGAAATGTTCACTCGAGATCTGAGAAGAACGAAAAGTAGAGGAAGGATTTCACTACTCACCATATTTACTGATTAAGCGGAGGAAGGCTGTGCCCTCCGGATCTCGTATTATCGCTTAAATCTGCAAATCGGAGATCGAAGAACGAACGACGTTATGTAGCTCGATGTGATAAAGTAAATTAAAATCAGGAAGATAAGTAAATTTTTGCTTAAGAACGCTGAGGTAAGACATTTACGAAATCGCCACTGGGATGGATATGGGCCACTCAAATGGCTGTTATATTTTTCATCGACAAATATTCAGACCCAACGAGCCCGTTTATAAAAGGCCTAACAAGGAGCAACAACGATCGTGGTACGAAGAGGAAGCTCAAAGAGGGGGTTAATAGAAGAAGAACATCGAACTATGTATCTCAATATTTTAATTTTATCGACATTTGTGTCAATTTCCCTTATTATTATTTATTTTTTTGTCACTCAGGTACATATTTGATATTTTTCTTCTCACTTTTTTCCCCAGCAAAGATACATACATACTTTAATCTTCGATTAGTGTTGATTATCTTTGCAAGATTATAGTCTTTTATATTTAATGGAACAACATACTGTATCCTTGAGCCAATTCAACGGAGTCCTACTCAATCTTTGAAGATGTATAAAACAAAAGGGTAGCAAGAAAAACAATGAAAAGGAGACAAACTGATGGGAAAAGTATAAGAAAACTCCAAGAGAATTATATTCGCAACGTTTAAAATAAAGACAAATCATTTTACAGGCCGGAGGAAGAAAATACTGTAAAATCCAATCAGATGTAAACTATTGAAGTAGATCTTTAGGCAAAAAAAATAAAAACCATATAATAAGAATAAAATCTCCCGATAAGGAACACCACCAGACTCTCTCTCTCTTTTCATCTAAATCCTTCAGCCTCTCGGAATTTCAGTTTCTTACCAAAAAAATCAAACTTTAATTACAAATGGACTCGAAATACTTGACTGAGTGTGGTGTTCCAAGCTGCAAGTCCTCAGAAAGAACGTTATCTCACCTCTCCATTGTTGCTGGAACTTTGGCCATTCCCCATAAACTGTAAACTCTACTGACGCGGTGTAAGCACTGCAAAACACAAAGTAAGCCGAAAGATAAATAAGTTAAACTAATACCAACAAGTTCTTAAAAGGCGAAGCAAATACTCGGTTTCAAAACCTAAGCCATGTCACGAAACAACTTAAAATTATGTTTCCTAAGGTATAATGATTTCAAACCAGACGCATAACAGAGGGGGGAATGTTAGAAGGCATGCATGCTATCTTTGGGAGATCAAATTAATCACCAGAGACAAAATTTTCAGACTTTTCAACATTGGCTTGACCGATCGGACTTGATATTAGGCGGATGGGTTTCCTTCATTATTCGTACCCCACTCTTCGTCAGCCTCACTTTCGTTCACAAGTACAGCTCCATCCGTTGAGTCACCATCAACGACTCCTTCTTCTTCTTCCTTTTCTTCATGATGCTCCTCTACAACATCCCCATCCTTCTTTTGTTCATCTCCTCCATTTTCTTCCGCTACTGCCTCCTGAGAAGAAGAACAATAAAGCATTCGTGGCTGATATAAATGAGTAACTTAATTGGACAGAGAAAAAGGCACCTCATGATCGATATCTCCATTTTCGAGTAATTCCTCTTCCTCAGCTTGCAAGTTTCTAAAGGCTTCCACGAGGGTCATCGAAGATCTATCAGCATGGCTAGGATAGTTTTCTGCAGATGTATAAACTCCCCTGTAATTGAATAATAGTCAGATTTCTGAGAGGCCCAAGTGTAATTATGCGGAAATATCAGTGCAAGGATGTACTAGGTATTAATGGTATCTCTGCTTAATTACCTTGTCTCTGCAGCTTTTTCTTCGACGGAAAGAGCAACTTGCCAATCTTCAAAAAGATTTGAGTACTCCTCAGGATCAGCCAAAGATTCTGCTGCTTTCGGGTTAATCTGTAGACAAGTGAAACGCAACTTTATAACCATAACTCTTTTTTCTCCTTGACCACAATTCACTGAAAAATAAAGATAAAAAAGTTACCTTGCTGAGATCTTTCCTCCATAGAGCTACTATCTCAGATACTTTGCTTGGAAGATATGATCTTGCGAACAGAGCAGCTTCTGGTATCCGGTTGCTGGAGAAAGAACGAAATCGTCACACAGATAACCAAAGGTGCATGAATTTGATTTTTCCAAACTCCTAATGAATTACCTCTCCACCAATAAGTCCAAACAATCTTCCAATTTACCCAGCATGAATAGGCAAAGATAGGCAACATTGTTCTTCCCTTGGTCTTTAGCAAGTGTTGCAAGTTTTGTCAAACCTTCTGCATCTCCCAGAGAAGAATATAGCAGTAACAAACCACTCAAATCCATCGCATACTTCATGCATTCCTCTGCCATTTGCAGCTGTCATTATGACATACAAATGGAACGAGTTAGTTGGAGATCCGCACATCAGACACGTAACCAGGAGACAAAAAAACATAGATTTTTGCTGTTTCAAAGATCATATTGCTCACTGCTCCAACATTTCTGGATAAAACTTCGGAATCACACGTAAATCAACTGATATATCGTTTACTGAAAAGGTTTTTTTTTGTCTTTGTAGTGTCATTACTTAACATTAGGAAGAAATAATACCTTTCCAGAGGACATGGCTAACTCTCCTAATTGCTTCCACTTAGACTCGCTCTGTACTTCTACAGCGATTTCCTACAAGCATATAATCAAAAACACGTTTGGTTACATATGCCACTAAATAAAGAAGGAAAAAAGCATCTTAATCATCACATATTATATCACCTGCGCAATTTCAAGTCTACCCAGTTGTATGGCCAACTCAAATTTGTAGTCAGGATCTGTCGCAATTTCCAGAGCCTCTTCAATCATTCCTCGTGACTCCAAGAAATGAGCAACACTAACAAAGTGGAAAATTTGCGACATAAATATATAGAAAAATCCACGAAATACCCATTGATAGATATTAATCGATAACAATTACCTGTTATGCTGTTCTTTAGGAATTGTAGGCAAGATTTCACTGGCTCTGTCTAGATCACCTCGCATCACAAGAGTCTTGTACTCAATCAGGCTTAGTAGCAAAGTGTATCCTATAACACTGCATCCCAAATAACAGAAAACAGGAGAACAGAAATCAGAAACTTCTAAACCAGGCTGAAATAGACACACAAAATCTAGGCACTTACTTGAATTCTTTGTCTACCAAGAATACCCGACTTTGATTTGCAAGATAGCCCAACAGATACATTGGGCGGTCCAAATGATACATTGTGGTTACCTAGTATTAAGATGTTGGCAAATCTCATCAATATACTGTTCATAATAAAAGTCAAATTAGAGTAACCAAGAGATCTGCACAATACCTCGCCTCCAACACAGTAGTTAAGCTTCCAGGAAGAGTTGTTGTAAATGAAACAGTCACCAACCCATATACCTGTCCTAACTCGTTCATCATTCTCATGTAGAACCTCAAAAGCATCCTCAACACCTTCTTCCTCAGTAGATCTTCCGCTCTCAAAATGTGAGGAAACTAAATCCCGCTGTGAACGGGAACACCATAGTAAGCACTTGAACAATCCAAGAATTGTATATAGAAATTCACAGCTTAAAGTGTTCGTTGGACAGGATTCTTACGTTGTACTTCAAGATGTAGAAAGACGTATCACTAGCAATGGCTACTAAATCACCACTGTCAGCCCAATAAAGATTCTGCATACATTATAAGGCAAAATAAAGAATTAGAGAAGAAACAAACGAGGACAATCTCCAACTGAAGCTAACATTAGCTTTCACGATTCCAAATATGTCTCGAAGTAAACTTCTCAAAACAAACAGAGCCAAGTATACCTTTACAGTGACGTCAATACGTTGAATCAGCCTACATTCAGCCCAATCATAAAAGCAGATGAAATCATTTGAACACATAGCTAACAAGGTTCCTCCAAAGATCTTCTCAGCTGAGAAAGTAGGGCGGATGCTCTTTTTTTCCTGCAAACATCTTCTGTGTGTGAGCCAGATCCAGAAACAATTATCTCAATGACAGTATCAGTAATACTTCCAACAACGGTAGAAACATAACGTCTTAGAACAGGAGGAGAATAATGAACCTGGAAATTTTTGCTAAATGTCTTAATCTTTGATGAGCTTTCTCTAACGGCACACTCCCCGTCGGATGACCATACAAATTCCAGTCCAGAACCAAATGACCTATTTCTCCAAGCCAAAGCCGTGTAGATGATATACTCCCCGTCACCACAGACTACCACAAACCGCCCATTAGGATTGTGCTTCAAGCTCTGAGGGCAAGAGTACCAACATATGAGACACAGTTATATATTCAGAAGAAGAAAAGCGTAGCGAAACCAACAACTTTGGGCTAGTGTCAGTCATACCAGCTATGCAGAAAATGTTTTGCCCAAATAAACTATAAAACAAGCTAAAACATACAAAACCATTGGATCAAATGCTGTATAGTAACACTCACTTGTGGATAAAGATCACAGGTACCCAACTCTTTAACAGCCACAGGCAACCTTTCTCCATCGGTAACCTAAGGTCGAGAACAAAGGCTTAATACCATCAGGTAAACAAATAAAAATCT